GTTCAACAATAACAACAGCTGGTCAGAGATAGCATTTATGGCTATAACTTGACTTACAATTGCCATGAAGAGACATAATCATTAACCAATATACAAACATCTCGACGAGGTATGAACTTAGTGGCAAAATAAATGCATCTAATCAAAATGGTTCTGAAATAAATGTGGCTGAGTAGAAATATACATTTAAATTTCATCTTCATTATCCACAATGTAAAAAAAATCGAATGTTTAAAGTCATTCAATCGAGATAGCTTCGTATTCGGAAAGCGTATTTCAATACCTTTATATAGGCATATCCAAGAGCCAATCGCAAGCTCAAAATTAGCTGTAATATGGGAAAAGGGGGTGACATCACGTACTGGCGCTTTCGCCACCACATGGACTGTGGATGTCGATATGCACTAAGCACTCACATCAACTCCTGCGCGAAGGATTCTCGGCATCGGGCATCCGACAGGAGCACTCAGCTTCGACTTAAAAGTAAGCGCTTACACCACACACCACAATACTCCGCAAAGCATCTTCGAGTTGCACTTGTGCGGTCGTCGGCCTTGTCGCTTTCCTGCCCCGCCTATCCTCACTTCGATGGGCGATACAAAACATACCGCAATAGCACAAATAAAACATATCGCATGACGCATTAAAATACGTGGCATTGTTTCATCGACAGCCGAGATGGCGAGGGCCCGCATATTCAATGAACTGCTCCTGGAGGCTTGCAAGGCTCTGGCGTTGATGCTCCTTTAAATAAATACTACGACGTGAAGGATTGGGCAATGCCGATAATTCCGAGCCCCTTCACGTTCAACGCACTTTCAAAACGAAGAAGCACACTAACTAAAAGATATCTCCCGACTGCAGCGATGTGCTGTCCCATTTATAATTTCGCTGCGGTTCATTAAAATCATTCAATGATATTCATATTTTCTGCTCGCTGCCTTTTAAGCGTGCAATTTTCTATTTCACCAAAACATTATGAAAATTTTGGCCTCAATGGATGTCAGGCATGCTTCCCAGGCTGCGAAGCAGCTCCGACGGGGAGCTGCAAAACAGAAATCAGTTTCAGATGCCAAGCAAACAAACCAACAAACAAACGATCAAACAAACAAACAACAGACAGCAAAACAAGAAACAAGAAAACAAAACAAAACAAGCTGCGCGCTTGGCAACGAAACATAAATTATGCATTACAAACGTGCTTCTGACCCATTGCCATTTTCTAATTCAATTAAAAATTTTTTACATTTGAATACAATTTCCCAATGTGCCGGCCAGGCTTGCTATGCTCGGCTCGGCTCGGCTCTGGTCTGGTCCGGACTGGCCCGGCTAAGGAGCAAAGTGGGAAAGTTTTGCTGTTGCTAATGCTTCTCTAGCCTAAATACACCATTGGGAAAGCTGCAGCAGCTCAGACACTAATTTGACATAGTTATGCGCAGCGAAATGAAAGCTGCGGCCGTTGCCAACATGGCGTATAAATAATATTTTAGCTTGTCTCGTTCGCTGTGCAACACTTTGGAAGCTTCTAAGTACTTCAACTACAACTACAACTGCAACTATGCTAATAGGGATAGCTCAACAGAAACGGTGTGGTGAGTATTTCTCTCCATAAAATCGGCATTAACTATGTATAATATGAAAATATTACCCTTTCCTAGCCTAGCAGAGATATTCCATACAGGCATTATTACAAGTATACCTAAATAAATAAGTGCTTATGTACAGTTTCAACAGCATATATGCATATACATCAGAATCTTGGCAATGCATGTTTATATGCGTGTATGTGTTCAGTACTGAAATAATCCAACCAGCATCAACAACAGCTATGGCTATAACTTTCTTCAGAATTGACGAATCATGATGAAACTTAACATACGGACACATTATCAGTAACTGGATGTATATGCCATATGTATATATGAATTCAAGGCTCCGTAAATTAAGAGATTTATGGAAAATACGAATTGCGGGGGAAGGAGGGGAGTATCGAAAAAAACTCGAACTCGTACTTTCTCGGACTTAGGAGAATCTGGATACCAAGGACAGAAGGACATGCCTATATCGACTCGGCTTGTCACCCTGATCAGAATATATATACTTTGTGGGGTCTGCCACGCCTCCTTCTGCCTGTTTCATATATTCGCACAAAACTAGTATACCCTTTTTACCCTTTGGGTACAGGCTATAATAAAATACATTCGTGTTTCCTAGGGCCTAGGAACGTCTAAATACCAAGTTTATTAATGCGTCGAGATGGACGGACGGACATGTGTAGATCGATTTCTCTCTCTCGTCATTCTGATTAGGAAAATATATACTATATAGGGTCGGAGATGCTTCCTTCTGTCTGTTACATTCTTTGCACAAGCCAAATATACCCTTTTTACCCTACGATTACAGGGTATAAAAACACTAAGTTGCGAGACGTTTTTTTTTCATAAGAACCTCTAGTACATTTATGTGTTTCTTTCGGAACAACAGGGCTGTTCATCTTTCGAAACAAATTAATATCAGAAATGTGGTCTTACTATGCCACTAAGTTTCTTTGATTATAAGTAGGCAAGAGAATCTAGCCACACTCATGGGAGGAAGTATGTATTTTTCATCACTAGTTTTCCACCTAGTCGAGTGCATTGCTCTCCATTTAAGGCGGCAGCATAATGAACTCGACTGGCAAGAAAGTTGTCAGCAGGGGCATTCCACTTACACATGCGACACAAACACACGTAAACCTACTGTAGTGAAATTTAAAAATTCATAAAATATTCGCACCACTAAACAAACAAACAAACAACAGCAACAGCAATTCTAACAACAACATTGGGGTCGGGCGCACTGCAATGTAACTCAATTAATTAATAACAGAACCGGACAACAACAACAGGAACAAAAACAACACATCAGCAGCAGTAGCAGTAGCAGCAGCAGCAGCAGCAACATTAATAAGAACAACAAACAAAATAATTAAGTAACAAAAGTTTCACATTTGCAGCGCCGGAGCACAGGAGCAGGAGCAACATTTCTGCTGCAAATACAGCAGGGCACGGGCCTCGGAAGCGTAGGCACAGGAGCGCCAACAAGCTGCCCAAGAAGAAGGCGAAGGAGAAGGCAACGGTAACGGTAACGGCAATGGCAACGATGCTACAACTACAACCACAGCTCGTAATGCCGCCAAAGCCGAGCAAAGTTTGCACGGGTAACGAACTGAAGGACGAGTGGGCGGGTGATTGGGTGGAGGGGTGGTTCTGTTGCTCGAACTTTATAATGTAATTTTAAGTGGCATAAGTCGACAGCCGAAAAACATATACGCAGCGAACTGCGACAGCGGCAGCGGCAGAGGGGCAGTACAGGAGCAGCAGTTCAGCGACAGGTGGTTTTTGGGGAGATTCCTCAAACACGCACACTCCAAGAAACATAATAATCATAAAATAACAGCACAATGCACACACATTCCATACGTTCATTTGTACATTTATAGTCGTAAGTATTTTGAGCAAAAGAGCCCCAAGCGATGTTTAATAGCCAGTAACTAAAATAAAATACAAATACTGGAGCGGGGAAACAAAAAAGAAAGAAGAGCAGAGCAGAGCAAAAGAGTGGGGCTTATAAGAAGAGGCAAGCAGCGCAGGCGGCATTAAAAATGGCATTATAATAGCATTCAAACTGTATTTTTTCTGCTACTGCTGCCGCAGCTCGTTAAATGCTAGTGCTGCGCACAGTCTTGGCATGCAACATTTATGCTCGTAGCATGCAGTAACTTAGTTGGAGCCCATGAAAAGCCAAAACTAGACACAAGCTGTTCACAAACGGCAGCAATTTAAGCATTTTAGTGCGAGTTTCCCAATTTTTAGGCAGCTTACCAGAGCAGGAACTTATGACCACCCACCCGTCAGAGTCCGGCTCTGCCTAGTTTTTAGTAATTCGCCAAAGTGCCGCAATGCAATGCAAGTCCATTCCACGTGCAGCAACACCCTAAATACTATACTTGTATGTAATTATTATCAAGAACACTTTTCGAATCAAATAATTCCTTAAGTTCTACGCTTTTGGGAGTTATGTACTTATTTAAAAAGTTAAATAAATTGTTGTACAGAATTGGTGTGTGTGTGCCTGTCTCAACATGCTCGTGGCTTAGGATGCACAAGAAATGTTTGAGTGCAAATATTGGTAAAATATATTTAACATTCTAGCATACAATAGATTACGCGTTTAACGACAACTAAACACAGCAGTGGCAGTTACTGACCCTTGTTGGCGTGCCAAGACGATATATGTGCATAGCTAGAGCCGCCACATGCCATTCCAGCCAGCCAGCCAGCACACACGCCCGCTATCCGCTATTGAACTGGTGCATTGCCAAGCTGTGCTGCGGCTAATGGGTCGCTGGCGGGAGATGGAACTGCGGCGGTGCTAGTCAGCCTGTTGACTGCGGCCGGCCGGTTTGAAAACTCTCTGCCTGCCTCTGCCTGTTTGTACTCTGCATGTGTGTGACATTTCCCCTACTTTTGGCGAGAGCGAGGGTGCACTCAAAACCAACACAGGCTCACATGTGTGCGAGCGAGAGTAACTAAGTGCATGTTTTTCGTATGTGCAGTAGAACGGGATATGCACATGCATTCTATAGATGTGTCCGTGTGTGTGCCTGTGTATGTAGGAGCACACAAAGAGCAACAGTGGCATAGTGAGAGCGCAGCGTGAGCACCGATGTGTGCATGTGTACATGTAAGTACGTGAGTGTGTCTATGCGAGTGCATTGAAAGAGTACGCTCACAGACACACACACTAACGTGTGTCTGTCTGCCTGCCTGCCTGCTTTTGACTGCCTTTCATGCTGCTCTGCCATCGTTGCCGTTGCTGTTGCCGTCGTCGTCGTTTGTACGAGTTTGAAAATATTTTCAACGAGCCAACGGAGTCGCAGCGAGCAACTTTAGCAATCAGTTTGAGTTGAAACGCGGAGCGGTAAACATGTTATTGAAAACGAGCTCTTCCGCAAGCTAAACACACAGTATTTTGTTAGCAACACAGAAAACGTGACCGACCGACGACGACAGCACCAGTTTTTATTCTAAGCTCAACGCGTGTGCTCAACAAAATCTGAAATAAAATACAAGCCATAGTGTAATGAAAATATAATTCCATAGCAAACAAAATCGCTAAGTGCACGCAATCGCAAACATCACTCCTGGATTACGGGCACGCGCATTACAGAGAAAATTTTCGACGAAATTTTCCAAAAAAATTATTAAAGCGATTTGTGACTTAAGTGCCAACAACGCAACCAGAAAACACAATATGAAAACGAGAAAGTGTTGAGACCCGCAACAAACTAAAATGCCCAACTAGCCATCAGCAAGTAAATCAAAGTTTTTTTTCACAAATTACAACAAATCACTTTGAGCAACAAGCACAAAAAGGAATAGCAACACCATGTCCCCATCCACGACCATTCTGCGCGTGCTGTTGCTGGTGACGCTGTGTACGGCGGCTGCGCATGCACAGTGCGCCTGGGAGTTTGTGCGCACCACCATGGACATCAAATGCAATCTGCGAGCACTGGACGCGGGTGCGCCGCTGGATTTGCAAGTGGCTGAGACGGCCAACCGCCTGGAGGTGCAGTGCAGTGAGGAGCTTCTGCACGCCAGCGAGCTACCCGCGGGTGCCTTTGCGCGCCTTCAGAAGCTGTCGGAGCTGCGCATGGACGCATGCAAACTGCAAAAGGTGCCCGCGAATGTCTTCGAGGGCCTCATGTCACTCAAGCGCCTGACGTTGGAGACGCACAATACAGTGTGGGGTCCGGGCAAGACGCTGGAGCTGCACTCGCAATCATTTCACGGCCTGCGCGAGCTCAACGAACTGCATCTGGGCAACAATAATGTGCGCCAGCTGCCCGAGGGCGTGTGGTGCACAATGCCTAGCTTGCAGGTCCTCAATCTGACTGCCAATCGCATACGCTCCGCCGAGTACCTCGGCTTCTCCGAGAAGCTCTGCAGCGGCACAGCGCTGACCAACACAAACAGTGCGGCTACCGGAGGAGCAGAACTTCAAGTGCTCGACGTCTCCTACAATGAGTTGCGTGCGTTACCAGATGCCTGGGGTGCATCGCGGCTGCGGCGTCTGCAGACGCTTAACCTCCAGCACAACAATATCACTGCCCTGGCACCCAATTCGCTAGCGGGCCTGAGTTCGCTGCGCGTACTCAATTTGTCCTACAACCACCTGGAGTCGCTGCCCACGGATGCGTTCGCCGGCAACAAGGAGCTTCGTGAGCTGCATCTACAGTGCAATGATCTGTACGATCTGCCCAAGGGTCTGCTGCACCGTCTGGAGCAACTTCTGGTTCTGGACCTCAGTGGCAATCAGCTGACCAGTCATCATGTTGATAACAACACCTTTGCTGGACTAATTCGCCTGATTGTTCTAAATCTGGCGAACAATGCGCTTACCCGTATCGGTGCTAAAACTTTCAAGGAGCTGTACTTTCTGCAAATTCTGGACATGCGCAACAACTCGATCGGCCATATTGAGGAGGGTGCGTTCTTGCCACTCTACAATCTGCATACCCTGAACCTGGCCGAAAACCGATTGCATACACTGGATAACAAAATTTTCAACGGCCTCTTCGTGCTTACTAAGCTCACGTTGAACAACAACTTAATCAGCATTGTGGAACCGCAGTCGTTTCGGAACTGTTCCGACTTAAAGGAACTTGACCTGAGCTCAAATCAGCTGACTGAGGTGCCTGACGCTGTGCAAGATCTAAGCATGCTGAAGACGTTAGATTTGGGCGAAAACCAAATCTCGGACTTCAAGAATGGCACATTTCGGAATCTCAATCAGCTAACGGGTCTGCGATTAATTGACAATCGAATTGGCAACATTACGGTTGGCATGTTTAATGACCTTCCGCGCCTCAGCGTTCTGAATTTGGCCAAAAACCGTATTCAGAGTATCGAGCGCGGTGCCTTCGATAAGAACACAGAAATCGAGGCCATTCGTCTGGACAAGAACTTTTTAACTGATATCAATGGCATTTTTGCTACATTGGCTTCGTTGCTCTGGCTAAATCTATCTGAGAATCATCTCGTGTGGTTCGATTATGCCTTCATTCCATCCAACCTCAAGTGGCTGGATATTCACGGCAACTATATCGAAGCCCTAGGCAACTACTACAAGCTGCAGGAGGAGATTCGTGTGACCACTTTGGATGCAAGTCACAATCGCATCACGGAAATCGGTGCCATGTCCGTTCCTAACTCCATTGAGTTGCTGTTCATAAACAATAATATCATCAGCCAGATACAGGCTAATAGCTTTGTGGATAAGACTCGTCTGACTCGCGTCGATTTGTATGCTAACGTGCTATCAAAAATATCGTTGAATGCCCTGCGCGTGGCGCCGGTTACGACCGATAAGCCCGTCCCCGAGTTCTATCTCGGTGGCAATCCCTTCGAATGCGACTGCTCTATGGAGTGGTTGCAGCGCATTAATAACATGACGACGCGCCAGCACCCGCGAATTGTCGACCTGGCCAACATCGAGTGCTTAATGCCGCATAGCCGCAACGCCCCTCTGCGATCCCTCACGAGCCTAACCACTGGAGAGTTTGTCTGCAAGTACGAGGCCCACTGCCCACCCACATGCCACTGCTGTGAGTACGAGCACTGTGAATGCGAGCTTATCTGCCCTGACAACTGTACTTGCTTCCACGACATCAATTGGTCCACGAACATCGTAGACTGCGGCAAGCAGAACCGGCTCAACCTGCCCGTACGTCTACCAAACGACGTTACTGATCTCTACTTGGACGGCAACAACATGCCTGTAATCCAAACCGGAGCTTTTGTCGGCAAGCGCAATCTTCGAGCTCTTTACTTAAACGCCTCCAATGTGATGACCCTTCAAAACGGAAGCTTAGCTGAGCTGAGTATGCTTCGCACACTTCATCTGGGAAACAACAAGCTGCAGACGCTCGAAGGGCATGAGTTCCGCCAGCTGTCACTACTACGCGAGCTGTACCTTCATAACAATTTGCTCACGCACATCTCCAATATCACATTTGCGCCTCTGGTCTCACTTAAGGTGCTGCGCCTAGACAACAACCGCCTGAGCTTCATGCCGATGGCCACGCTCGCAAATCTCCAGTACCGTAACAGCCTGCAAGGCCTAACCATGGGTCGCAATGCCTGGTCCTGTCGCTGCCAGTTTCTACAAGAATTGGCCCAGTTCGTCTCGGATAACGCAATTGTGATCAGAGATGCGCAGGATATATATTGTGTGGATGCGGGCGTCAAACGCGAACTGGAGCTACTAGCAAACGTGGCCGGTGGTAATGGCATCGACTGTTCCGAGTTGCTCGATGCCAGCGCCAGCAACATCTCGGCGCATGACACAACTGCTGGCTACCGCTTGCCCTTGCTAGCTGCCGTGCTGGTGCTGATTTTCCTGGTCGTCGTACTGATCATTGTCTTCGTCTTCCGTGAATCCGTTCGCATGTGGCTCTTTGCCCACTATGGAGTGCGGGTCTGCGAGCCGCGCTTTGAGGACGCTGGAAAGCTCTACGACGCTATTATTCTGCACTCGGAGAAAGACTATGAATTCGTGTGCCGCAACATTGCTGCTGAGCTGGAGCATGGTCGTCCGCCCTTTCGTTTGTGCATTCAACAGCGCGATCTGCCACCGCAGGCCAGTCATCTTCAAATAGTAGAGGGTGCTCGGGCCTCACGCAAAATCATACTAGTGCTCACGCGCAATCTTCTAGCCACCGAGTGGAATCGAATCGAGTTTCGCAATGCCTTCCATGAAGCGCTGCGTGGCTTAGCCCAAAAATTGGTCATCATCGAGGAAACGAGCGTCTCCGTCGAGGCCGAGGAAGTGGCTGAGTTGGCACCGTATTTAAAGTCTGTGCCATCTAATCGCCTGCTTACTTGTGATCGCTACTTCTGGGAAAAGCTTCGCTATGCCATACCAATTGAGCTGTCGCCGCGTGGAAACAACTACACGCTGGACCACCACGAGCGCTTCAAGCAGCCGGTCTCTCCGGGCATGATCTTCCGTCAGGCTCCGCCCCCACCTGCTTACTACTGCACCGAGGACATGGAGGCCAACTATTCGTCTGCCACCACAGCGACGCCTTCGCCACGGCCCACTCGTGGCGTTGGCCAAGCCCGGATTATCGATGCCATACCAATGCGCCCGCCCTCGGAGCACATCTACCACAGCATCGAGTCGGAGTACAGCGCCTACGAGCAGCACGAGGGTCTATCTATGATTCCCACCGGCGCCTCGGCAGCCACCTTTATGCATCATCACCAGCAGCCGCTTCATCACCACCAGCAGCAACCACAGCTGCTAGTACCTAGCTCCAATTATCGCCAGCAACCACAACAACAGCGACTCTTGCAGCCCCAGCCACACTGGCGTGCTGCTACCAATCAGCAACAAGCAGCTCCCGTTCATCTGCGCAGTGGCAGTGGCATAAGCCAGGCCAGCACCAGCACACAGTCAACAGCAGCAGCGGTGGCTCAGACGCCCCAATCGCAGTCCCAGCCACAGGCATCGACTTCTGGAGCGGCGGCGCAGGCAGCTGCCAACAACAACAGCAACAGCACCTCGGCGACGGCTGCCGCTGAGGCCACCAATAAAAACAGCAATGGCCAAGCTTTTTTGGTGTAAGCCCCTAAATGCCAAGCAACCCTTATTCGCACTGTTCCTGCGCATGCGCGGCCATCTTTGTGTTGCTAACTCGGTCACTCGCACGCAAGAGCCGAGAAAAAACAAACAAAGAACTAATACATACATAAAAAGACTTTACGCTGGCATTTCACGAGCGCCTCTTGTGTTCACGTGTGTTCGCTGTCATTGTCGTTTTATCGTAGTTGTGTAGCACAGCCAAACGCACATACACAGTCACAGACACACAAACACGTATTAACATATAGGCTTATTTACTATATTATTAACAATGCATAATCATTATGATGATGAATATTATTATTATTATTATTATTATTGTAATTGTAATTGAAGTACGATAAAAACTAGAAATGTTGCAGAAACACTTTCAAATTCAATGTGATATATTAAATAAATAATTACGACTTTAACTGTAACTGTAACTATAACTGTAGCTCTAGCTCTAGCCAGGCAATTTAGAAAGCAAGCATTCGAAGTTGAATCATCCTAAGGTAATTCAGTAACAACACAAGCAAATACTACTTATTTAAAGAACTTGTAAATAAAGTGGATTGAAATCACGCAAACACTTAGCGCACTATTGTATTTATGTATTGCATTGTATAGAAACCAATTAAATTAATTAATTAATAAATTCACTATGATATATATATTAAAACAAGACAAGAATAAACAGCAAGAGAATAAAAACACGATATAAAACATTCACCGCAGTTCATTTTACTACACACCTACTCATTGAAGGAAAATCATACAAGACGCACAACATTTTCACAATTGGAAAAGTTTTCTATTTTTCAGAATTGCTTGTTACGGCCACAATCGATCTTGAAACTGATTGCTCCGAAGCAACCTTCTCTCTATGTCATACCAAATACATAGTACCAATGCCTTCAATGCCATCATTTCCTTCCACATTGTAAAAATGGGCATTATGATGTTTTGCATAAAATTGAAATAGGCGGCGGTAATACATATGTATGTATTCGCGAGAAAATCTTGGCAAATCTTGGAAAATCTTAATGGCATTACCACCATTTCTTTAAGTGGAGAATGCGGAAAACGTTGTTAGCCTACTATTTATTATCCACAATTTTGAACAGCCTGTTCGAGACGCATTTACAATTTGAAAAGAAATGAATAAATTGACTTAGTAGCTGAAAGAGCGCTTGGCTGGACAGTAAATCTCGGTAAATAATTACATATTTATTGCATAAACAAATTAACAAGCTCGCATGTACACTCACCCGACCACCGATAAGGGTCGCAAAATTAGTTTAATATGCGTCATATACTCGAACACACAAGAAATTGCTTTCCCATTGCATTAATTTAAATTTGTTTTTGGTTTGTGCTCGCGCATAAATTAGTTTTTAGGGCCAACAAAACCGCAACGACCGCCAAAATCAGCTGGCAAGAGTAAAACGGCCATTTAAATGGGCACAGCAAGCGGTAAATAACAGGGGCTGTAGTGCTATCTGCCACGAAAGAACCAGCAACCAGCACAAAGAATATAAGTTAGCCACATTTACGAGTATAAGCCAACTATTATTTGTGAATCGATTGCAAGTGCAGCTAAGTGTAAAGGTCGGCAGACAAAGGCATACCTATGCGAGTAGACATAACACTAATCCTGGTTAAACCCAAACAATGTAGCCATGTAATTAGAACAATTCAAATCAAAGCAAGGCCAAGGCAAATAAAATATCCCGAGCAACTGTGAAATAAAAGTTTCAAAGCGGATTTTAACTTGGGCCTCGGGCCAGAAATGAAACCACAGACTTCAGCCCACCTCAGTATTTATAGCCCATGTATTTACTTCTGGTCCAACCCTGACACTTTTTGGCACAGACACTTTGTAGTTAGTTGCAACAAATTCAGTTTATGTTGAAGCCCCACTATATGTATGTATGTATATGTATCGTACATATTCTAGTAGTTACAAGCGAACACACAAACGAACACACCAGACAGTCAAACAGACAGAACGTCAAACCGGCAACTGCAAATTGCATATTCTATGAGTGCAAAACTTTTTGTTATGTAATGCAATACATCGAGTGTTGCGTGCGTGAGTATGGACATGAATGTGTGTGTGTGTGTGTGTGTGCACATCGGTGGCAAATTAAGTATGTATGTCAATTTGCTGTGGAAATGCGAAAAGAGAACGGCAACGAGGCAACCGAAGTCTAGCTGATTGGAACTCTAAAAAGAAACAAACTAATTGAAAATCAATAAGTACTTGGAAAAAGTTCACAGAATCGAGAAAAAACAAGCATCAATTTTAATAGTTAAATAGAAAGCGGTCGCAAAGCTCTTACCAATAGCTTGTGGCATACCCTGAGCTATGGAGCCTCTAGATTGGCCATAGGCCACATTCCTTGTATCACCCACACTGTACTTACAAGTATTTCCATAAAGGTTTGTTTATTTTGGAATGGTTTTTATTTCTTGAAAGGTATTTTTGATATTCTCCCATCTAAAGACCCCATTTAAATAGGAGGTTCCGCTCTTTTCTCCTTTTTTTCTCGTATTTCTCGCCGATGCTGATCTGTTTCCAAATCACGTGATTATAGAGTGCTCGACCGATCTTATCCATTGCAATTTATCAAAGAAATATCAATATAAAAACCTCTTGAAGAGATGAGAAACTCATTCGGAAAAGTGATATGGCAAGTCAACAATTTTTTAATATAAAAGAGACTTGTGGAAATTGCTCATAACTTTTAAACGAAATAGGCTATACCATATTTTTGAAGGGTAATCTATGTTCTACAGATGATCACTAGATAAAAAAGAATATTTTAAGCTGTAACGACGCGTTGCGCAGCAACCAGCTGTGCGTCATTACGATGCCAAGTAGTTGTAAATTAATAAGTAATTGTAAGAATAGTAAGCCATGAAGGCGAGTAATTTTAAGTTCGGTTTAAGTTAGTTCTCTTCTGGCTCAGGCCCAACGCGCACTGAAGCGCTCTATATGTTGTTCTACAATTAAAGAAACACGTGGAGAAGTTTGGGCATACCGCCCTCTTTTATTTGGTGGACACCTCGGCACTTTGGGGTGCCTAATTTATTTCAGCATACTCTGGCCGGCGAGCATACCCGCGGCAGAGTAACAACGTTACAAGTGGCGCCCGAGCAGGGACCCCAAAGAAGTGTGAGGTTAGATCCGACCAAGTAGGGGAGAGAGCGTGGACCTACGATGCTACGAACGAGCTGGATTCGCGTGCTGCGGAAGGAAGAGCTCAGCACGGTGCTGCGCGAGTTCGACATTGAGGAGACCGGCACCGTGGAGGCGTTGCGGGTACGGCTGGCAACGTTCGTGAAGTCGGCCCAAGAAGAGTACCGGCCCCGCCTTGAGGAACTAGCGGCGTATTACGAGAACATGTCGTCGCGTACCGCGACGGCAGGTCAGTTGAGCCCGGTGCCCGGCGGACGGCTGGGAGTCCCGAAACAAGAGGACGTACCGGAGGGGCTGCTCGTCGGGACAGAGGCGAACACGACACCGCGAACTCCTGCGACAGTGCCGACCATTTCGGTAGCGGTCGCGGCCTCGCCGGGAGCTACCACAACGGAGCCCACGGCAGCTTCAGCGACGCCAATAGTGGCTCCAGTGCTCTCAACGGCGGACCTGACACAAGCGATTGCCGATTCGGTAACAGTTGCGTTGGCTCAGTACACCCACCGGTTGGCCCAGGCTATGGAGGATGGGTTCCAGAAACTGTCGAGCCAGGTCTGCGTTTCCACCGCTCCTGCTGGTAATGCGCCTGACGAAGATGACCCAACAGCACCGACTCCAGCGTCACCGCTCGCAAGCGCGCAGGCGGTGGCAGAACCACAAGCGCCAACATCGGCCGTGTCAACCGCATCCGCGGCTGGTTCGGCCCACTCGACAATGTCACGAGCGGAGCGGAGAGCCCTGGGCACGGAGGTGGCACAGTGGGGAGTACGGTTCGACGGCAGCGGGGACCCAAGAACGTTCCTCCGGGACCTGGAAGATAAGGCAGAGATAAGGAACGTGCGATTAGATGAGTTGGTGACCGTGTTACCGGAAATCCTGGTTGGCGAGGCGAAGGAGTGGGAGTGGTCAAGGCGCAATTTGGTACAACGGTGGGCCGAGTTCCGCCAAGACCTACTAAAAGAATATCCAGCGGGTCCCCACATAGAAGAGCGCCGGCGGGAAGCATACAGCCGGGTCCAGGGCGCATCAGAGAGCCCTATCGAGTATGTCCGAGCGATGCAACGACTGATGCGCGGCGCGGGGATGACTGCAGAGGAGCAGCTGAGACTTGTCCACGCCAACGGGCTACCAGAAATACGCGCCAATCTCCGCCTGGCAGGCGAAGAAGTAAGCTCACTCGATGGGTACGTACAGGCGGCACAGGGCGTGCGCCAAGGAATCCTAGCACGGTCACAGGCGGCCGGCAATGATGAGACGAACGCCACACACCCTACGCCGTTCCCACAGCCGGTGGCGGTTGGCCCAGCGGACACGCATCGTCGCCCACCCATCTGCAGACGTTGCGGGATGGGAGGGCACAGTATGGACGCGTGCCCAAACTCACAACAGCTCTACTGTTGGGACTGTGGTAAGATGGGGGTGCGTGCGAACGAATGCTGCCGACGCGCGACGGGAAACGCCAGGGGGGGCTCGTCCCACATCAACAGTCGGCGAGCCCACGCAGGCAGATTCCAATTAACAACGACACGCAGGGTAGCGGCCGCGCTACCAGTAGACTGCGATGGTGTACTGGTAGAGGCGGTCGTGGACACCGGAGCGACACGCAGCTTCGCGAGTCCGATGCTGGCGCAACGCCTGCGGGCGCCAGACGGAGGAAATGTACGGTCCGTGAGCGTGACTGTGTCCATGGCTGACGGGACACAGAAGACGGTCCGTGAAGAAACGAAGGCGACGGTCACGGTGGGCGACAGTCGCGTAGTACTGCCGCTGCTCACACTCCCCGGATGCATAGATGAGCTCACATTGGGACTGGATTATGTCCAAATGGCCAACGGGGCGGTGACTGTGGGCGGCCAAACTGTAGAATTGCGAACAAACGATCCACGGCCACGCAGGCGGCGGAGGCGAGATCGCAGAGCCCGACATGCAGCCTTGGTGACAAGCGAGGATCAGGCACGCCAGTACAATCTGCGGAGACGCGAGTGGCGACCCAGACTGGGCGACGAGGTGCTCGTGCGACAACATCACCTGTCCAACGCAGCCGAGCAGTTTGCGGCCAAGCTGGCGCCTCGCTTCGATGGCCCATTCACGGTACGAGCATTCATATCCCCAGTTATAGTGCGTGTGCGACCGGTGGCGGGCGGCAGAGGTAGAACGGCACATGTGCGGGATCTAAAAGCGGTGAACGCAGAAGACAGCGAAGCCGACGAAGGCAGCGACGACAGAGGCAGCGTTAGTATGGTCACCAGGGCCACGCCACCGACAGCTTCACAGCAGCCACAGCAGGCCACTCCTCAGCGTCAGCAAAAGCAGCCACAGCGGCAGTCCGGGCATCAAAATCGGCCATATCAACGAGCACGACGACAGCAGCCACGGGCACGACAGCAGCAACAGCAACCAGGGCTTCGTAGCAGCCACACCGACAACAGCAACGGCAACACCACCGGCGTCCACCAAAGCGGGAACAGCAAAGCTGCTGTTCTAGCCGAAGAAGATTCCCATGTAAGCCTACAAACATAATTA